ACACAAGTATTTTCATAATTAAAAAAATATATATATATATATATATATATATATATATAAAGAACAGAAAAAATCCCCTGCACTCACGCTTAGTAGATCCACATTAGCCGGGTGCCAAAGCCTGGACTCCAAAGATACAAAATGCCAAAAGATAGCTGCTCACCGGTCTTTTAAAATTCAAATGCTTTATTCAAATCAGGATAAAATCAGCTACCAACATTTCAGTCCCCGCTCGGGACTTTCCTCAGGGTCAAAATGACAGGACAACCTGTCAGCTATCTTTTGACATTTTATTTATATATATTTTTATATATATATATATATATATATATATATATAGAAAGGCCCAGTGGATTTGAATCTCCCTACCACTAGTTGTTCATCCTTCGGTCCTTCCACTGCTGAACACAGAGGCCTAAAAGACAAGTTGGGCAGACCCATTGTGTATCTGGGCAAAGCTCAAATCTGCAACAATTTTAATTCGGGCAGTTGCGGATTTAGCTCGTGCAGACTGCTGCACGTCTGCTCTGTTTGTTACAGGGCACACACCAAAACCATGTGCCCTAACCGTCTGTATCTAAAACAATGACTGACTGAAGTTTGCATTGACAACTTGGCGTATTATCTCCAAGCACACCCATCCCGTCACCCTCGAATTTTAGGTTCAAGGTTTCACAGACGATTTCCACACTGGCCTAGTAACACTCCCCACTGGTATTCACGAGTGATTCACGGATTCATTATAGGCCCTTTGTCACATCCACCTTTCTTGTGCTGGCATACCAACCCTATAGGTACAGCCACAGGGCAATCTAACAATAAAAAAAATCGATTTATCGGCTCCACATTCATTGCCTACTCCAAGCCTTAATTCACTGATCCCCTCCAAAGAGTTTTCCTTGCACTACGCTACAGCAGACAATGCCATTCATGCCATACTGAAGGCAGGGGTTGGTGCTTGGTTGGGAAAAAACAGACATTTCCTACACCTTTAAGCTTTTACTCATACACCCATCCCAGTGACATGTGCATGGTATAAGGTGGAGAGATAGGTATTACTTTGCCACTCGTCTGACATTTGTTGCTAAGAGTAGTCCTAAGTAGTCCTATGTTCTTCTCAATATTTGTAATTGCCCTTCAGTCATACATTACTGATTTTCTCACAATCGAGGACCCCCACGCTACCCCTATTAGCATTCAAAAGACGATGGCTCTTTTTCATCCCTTAAGGTTCCACTTTCATGGGAAAAAAGAGTAGGTCCTTCCACCAAAATTATCTTCCTGGGTATTCAACTAGACACGGTAAAATTTCAAGCAAGTTTACCGATAGAGAAGGTACAGCACATCAGGGAAACTGTGGAATGTTTTCTTGCCAAGAACACATGTACTAGGGTGGAACTACAATCTTTACTGGGCACGTTGAACTTTGCTATGAGAATAATTCCACAGGGCCAGGCATTTATTTCCCAGTTGCTGTGCTTTCTTCCCCATCTTCATAAAGACAATAGTATCACCTCTTTGCGTATGCACGCCAAAGCAGATTTACACATGTGGCTCAGGTTCTTGTCCCATTGGAATGAGAGGGCCATATTCATTCCTCCCATCTCAGATTATTCCCCCATAGTTTGGACCGATGCTGCAGCCCATACAGAGTTTGCAGTGATCTTTGGTGACTCCTGGTTCAGAGACTCATGGCCAGTCGAAACCCTCGGTCTACCCTTTGTTCCACACAACTTCAGCTTTGTTTAAAGTCTACCCTATTGTGGCTGCCTTGAAGGCCTGAGGGTATCAGTGGAAGGGGAAAGAAGTTAAATGTTTTTCCAACAATAAAACAGCCCGTGACATCATCAACAAAGGCAGATCCTCATCCCTTACTATCATGAGACTCATTAGACAACTAACATGGTTGGTAGGTACATTACAGTTTCATATCACTTGCATACACATCCCCGGACACACTAAAAAAGCTGCTGATTATCTTGTTCTAATTTTCAGGATTTGTTCAAAGCACACCTGACAGTCAACAACACCCCTGTCAACACCCCCTCATTCCAAGACTTAATCCTGGACTAAATTGCATATTGGCACACAGCAGATTTCTGGCTAGCTCGGCCTTTTCAGTCAATACGTCCTGAGTTTACGATAGAGCATTTACCATTTATCATTAGTTTACCTCCACATTAGCGACACTCATTCAATAGAATCCATTGAGGGGTTTGTCTCTTTTTGCCATCTCAATTTAAAACGCTCTCTTAATACCATCAAACTCTACCTGACTGGCATCTAACATCACATCCTAAGCGCATTTCCCGTTTATGTCTTCTTACCCTGTAAAAAACATACTCAAAGGTATACAACAGTTAGACAAACCCACAACTACCAACAGGCAACTCATAGACGGTCCTAAATTTCATGCATTATCCAACATCCTAGACTCTAACACGCTCGAACACCGTAACAATCTCACTAATAAAACAGCAGCCTTCTTAGCTTTTTATGGCTTCCTGTGACCTAACGAATTTACTGCAGACAATGTTTTGTTCAACAAGAAAAACCTCAGTATCAATCATTTACATAAACATACAGACCATTACATTCTAACAATTGATTGCACAAAGACAAACCAGTTAGGTCCCCCTACTGAAGTATGTTACTAACTTACAATAACTGGTGCCCAGTTAAATTACTAGACCAATACAGTATGTCACTCATTGGGCTCAACCCAAACACGCTGCTACTCACGCTACATGGTAAACCTCTTACCATCGCAAAATTCATATTTTATTTAAGAACCCTGTCTATAAAACTAGGTCTAGACCCCTCTGCCTTCTCCGGACACTCATTCAGAATCGTAGCCGCAGCAGCAGCATCAAGTCACAATGTCCCTGCACATATCATCAAAAGATTAGGTCGCTGGAAATCCGCGATCTATGTCAGATATATTCCTCAGCCAGAGCAGGAATTAAGACTCGCATTTAAAGAATTACCATTGTAATGTGTATGAAATAAAATATATATATATATATTTCAACTTTTTGCCCTCTTTTATTACAGGCCAACCTGATACGTCGGTGTCGGCACATCACAACCGACTTATGTACCTCTATCTTTTCTTTATTATGGCTTATTTTCCCTGACTACAAATAGAAAGGCTGAGCCTGTAATTGTGGGAGGGGTTACCCGGCTATTTAAACTTAGGCCCCCTCTGTTACAGGACTGTAACCGCTGGGTTCATCCCTCCCACCTGTCCCCTTTATTACAATTTAATGGGTGGGCCCTCTATTATTACAGGCCTACCTTATATGTCAGTTTTGGCACATCATAACCGACTTGTGTATACCTCTATCTTTTTATTATTATGGCTTATTGTCCCCTACTACAAATATATATGTATAGAAAGCCCTGAAGTTTCTAAATTAAAGCATTTCTCTCAAGGTCACACTTGATTTTTTTTAATGTTCCTCCCCTGACTATCTTAGCACTCAGGGTGCCTCCAATCACTTCAATATCCTTCCTGTACCCTTGGTTTGACCATTTTTTATTTGTTTTTTCATGGTACAGGATCTCTTTCCTGTGCTCCGCCATCTTCTCAGTACTGGCAATGAAGATGAGCCAAAGCCCTCTTCTGACATTACACCTCCCCAAGGTCAGGTTCCTGCAGGTTCCTGCAATATTGACAGATGACAGATGGTCTTGCGATGCTACGGAGGAAGGATTTAATGGAAAGGTGAGTATTCAGGTAAAAATGCATTTCACAAAGAAAGTGGAGCTTGTCTTAAACTTCACCTTGTGTCAAGATTATCAAATGTATGAAAAATACTATTACTAATACAAGTTACTATTTTTTCTTTTTTAGAAATGAAGAAAAGAACAGATCATGAAAGAGGAAAAGAAGAGGAAACAATAGGAGAAATGCATATTATGGTGACAGAGCCAAAACATTTATAGTAACTGCCACTGGCAGTATTTGGCAATGATGATTAATTTTACCTCTTATCACAATTCTACTGTAGTGGTTTCAAATATTTCTGTATGCTAGTCTCCCCTATGCAAGTCTCCCTCTATTCCAGTCTCCCCTATAACTGTCTACCTTTATGCCAGCCTACCCTATACCTGTCTCCCTCTATCTTCCCATAAGCCAGTTTGCCAGTTTTGCCCATTACTCATTCTCTATTTTACCCAGCATCTTGATCAGTCCCTTAATTCCCACCAAGTTTCTGTGCCGATCTGCACCAAGTTCCTCTTACTATATGCCATATATGTTGCCACTTTATTTTTCCTACCTCTACAATAGTGTCCAACATCTTTACAATCCTTCACTACCTAACTTAGGCCCAAATGGGTACTGCTTCTTGCCTCCACTGCAGCCAGAAGCTCTCATCCCTAAGCAGAGGCCAGAGGTGCTAGGAGTAACTCATTGACTGATAGCAATCAGCTGACTAAACAGGAGTTTTTGATTATCGTGGAGTCTCAGAGAGAAGGAGAGGGGCACCTGGTAGACCCGAGATAAAAAGGAAAAATATTCTAAATGGTTTGACTACATACAATGGAAGCAGGGATGCAAGAACACTCCTGGCACCATAACCCTACAGTCCAAATAATTTCAAATATCCACAAGAGTTAGGAGCTTCAATGTTATACACTGCACTCACTGTACACGCGCAGTTTTTATGAATGGTATTGTTGTGATCCTGATTGGTGTGATCCTGTGCTCTTGCTATAGCAAAGATTGACATTTTAAACATGCCATTTTAACTGCAATATATTGATTGCGATTTGCTTCAATGTGCAAACTAAAAACAAAAAAAGAAAAGAAAAAACAGTCAGAAGCATTGGGAAACTAAATAATTAATATATTTGTAATTTTTTTTATTTATTTAAATAAGTTTTAAAAATACATGGGATGTATTTTTACGCCATCATATTCTAGCACCTCAATAACGTCATTTCTAAAATGTGCTTCCGACTCACTTTTATTATAATGTCATTGGAACATAAATTTTATGGCTGCTATTCTAGAAAATGTACCTCTGGAGCATTGTTTTACCATATATACTGAAATCGTGATTATCCAAAGCTGCTAAACACCTTTGTGTAAATAGCTCCCAGGAACAATGAAAGGAACTCTCTCATCAGCAGCCTTTGCTGATTGGCTGAAGGTGCATGCAAATGATGTTTTAAGAAGATACATGCATTATTTTACATTTTCTGTTTACTGCAGTGATTTCTTTAGCTTCTAACTTTAACATATAATACCTTGTATGATTATTAATTATAATTAATGTCGTTTTTTTTTTACATAACCTGTTCTCTACAATTTACTGCTTTACTGTTACTATTATACTTGACACACTAACATATTTCATCAGGCTGCTGTGTAATTAAAACAAAGCATAGAAGTAATTGTGAAAAATCCAATCAGTCTTACTTAAACTATATCTTAAAATGTCTGTGTACAAAAGAAATGCTTTTAATAATTTGTTACACCCTTTTATGTCCTAGCATCAAGTTAAAATAAACAAATTTAATAACACAAAAAAATCTGAAGGGAGTAGCCTGAAGATTCTTGAAAATTTCAAATATATATTCTTGTTTTTTTTTTTCATTTTTATAGTAATATTATGTAACTGACTCTTACCACTGTACTTCTGTCTGTTACTGGCCTTCATATAGGACTCTTGGAATACCTTCTTCCTTCATTGGGAATTTTAAATACTTTCTGGCTCTATTGTGGTTCTAATATAATTAGCTCTTTCCGGCAACCATAGTTTCAGCACTGCATCTCAAAACCATTTAACTCCATAAGATAACTTCATTCCAATTAAGTTGTTATGGTTCCTGGGTTGTTCCTTTAAATAATCATTGTAATGTGATGCTATTAACCTTCAAAATCATATTTACATTAAGAGGGTCTGCAGGACCAAAGGCAGGGTAGGCATCCCCATCAGCATGTGCCTCTAGGAATCTGCTTACTCTTACTTATGGGAAATCTGGACCTGTTCAAAATTACATTTCAGTTCTGTAAAGGTCTATCTAGAAGCTGCTACCAATAAAATTAAGTATGGAACTTTCCAATATTTGTATTGTCTAAATGCGACACTAAAGGGAAACTATAGTACCAGAAAAACAAAATAATTTTCCTGGCACCATAGCTCCTCCCACCTTAAAAACCCCACTTACCTCAGTCCAGGGCCATCTCGGGTTCTGCCTAGGCTCCTCCCCTGCTGGTGTCAGCCGACAGGGAAGTCCTAATGCACATGCGTGGCAATGGCCGCATTCACATTAGGATTTCCCCATAGTAAAGAATTATACAATGCTTTCCCATGGGGTTTTGGGAGACGCTGTATGTCCTCATGCATACCGTGAGGACGTCCAGCGTCAGTAAGTGACCAAAAGTCACCTAATGACCCGGACGTCCCTTTAGTAGCTGTCTGGTAGACAGGCACTAGAGGTGGAGTTAACCCACCAATCTAATTATTGCAGTTTTTTTAAAAAAACTGCAATAATTAACTGAACAGAGCTAATGGACCTGGGACAGTGCACCCAGACCTCTTCAAAGAGCTGAAGTGGTTTGGGTGCCTATAGTGTCCCTTTAAGCTACTTTTGCATTGGGTCTGCCTTATATGTTTGTGTGTAAAGGTGTATACACAAGAATACAAAATGTTCATATAAATGTAAACAAAGGCCACACACTGATTATTTTCCGATTCACTTCTCAGCACATCTACTTCCCAATTCCCACCATTTCATTCATACTCCCTACATTTACTTTTTTTCTATCATCACTACTTCTAATGCCCACATACATCCTGGCCTGCAAACGATCCTTGTAATGTTGTATTTTGCCTCACCTGAGTTTTCCAAAGCCAATAGGTTTCCCAGGTTAAGCTGTCATCACAGCACAACAATCCCACATGTTTTTCTTTGATGTGCATCTCGTTTCCCCAAGATCTAGACCCTTAATGTGAGCCTTCAACACATTCTCCATTGCTATCTCAGAGTCTGTATGTCACTCGGTTGTAACACCATTAAGTTCGTTATATATTGTGTATAGGATTGTTTGGTAAACGATTTAATCCAGTATAAAGCAAGATTCATTCACCAATTGCATTCTTAATTATCAACATTTTCATTTATTTTATTACTAAAGATTTTAAAAGCTTTATAATGCCGGCTTAGTTTACAAGACAGTATACTTTTGTTATAAATGAAGAATTAAATCATTTGAATGGTTAAATCCCTGGGAGACAGGTATTTATTAGCCACAACTGAGGAAAACTGTTACGAAAATTAAACAGACACACCGTAACAATACAAGACATGGTATATTATATATTAATGTTTACCTATTTTTTTTATTTATTTTTTCTAAATTATTATTCTATAGTTGCCCACCCTTTGTCCCTTCTTGCACGTTCCCTACCTGTAGTATCTCCTTCCTCACCGGTACAGCCATAGACAAGTAGTGCTAAATTGGATAAAATCATAGATATTAAACATTATAGGCAATTAATAAAATGTCCTACTGTACTAAATTAAAAGGCACAGGTCACACATCTCTTAACAAAGAGATATAATTAATTGGGACGGCTTTCAAACAGGTTTATGATGACTGTCAATATTGGAAAACAATACAGAAATGGTATTTTGTTACCTCCACAAATTAATATAAAATGTACATTTATCTAATATGTTTTTGTTAAAATATGCTAGATTTTGATTTGCCTGAAGTGTCAGCTAACGAGTCACAAAAGGTGCAAAGGACAGGACAGGCCCTGAGGCAATGTCCGAAAACCAGACTTGGGGATTTGTTAGTGAGAAAGACACAGGCTGGGTAAACCTTAGTCCCTAACTGTCCCTAACCATCAGCTGATTAAAATGGGCTCAGGGACTGCAAAGAGAATGGCTGAACCCCAAGGCTGTTATGTTTGTTCAGAGTCTTAATGTGGAATTATCTGATGACATGTCCCTTAGTAAGTATCCCGGCCACCAAAGGTTCAAACCATGTTCAAGCAAAGGTGAAAAGCAGTCACATTATTTGAACTGTGATGAGCTGGCTGATAAAAACAAGACAGGCACCTGATTACAGCAAAGTGGCTAAAGAAAAGTTGGCTGTGCACAAGTTTGGAAAGGGAAGGGCCCTGTGTAGAATGGTGATAAGAACATCCTCACTTCCTCTAGCTGTCATTTTGATGTATTGGATGTAGAACTTTGAATTCCTTTTTTGTATTAACCCACCACCTGTACTGGATGTCATATCTCTGTATTCACTACCCGTGAATAGCCAATATCAAAACATTCAATGGGCTTACTTTCTGAATTCTGTTTATTTTCTCGAAATATTGTATTCTGTCCATTTATCTTATGCAAAACTAGATTTCTTACAGCCACCACAAATACTTAAAACTTGGAGTTTTGGCAACTCTTTATGCATATCCCATTGTACAGCACTATGGAATTTGCTGGTGCTATATAAATAATAAAATAATAATAATAATATATTACATTAAATTTAAGGAAAAATGTTTTGCTCAAGGGAACTCCCTAATCTGAGGTTATTCTCACAATCTCAAATAAATAATGCATAATGCATTGTAATAAAAATAATAAAAAAGAAAGTATATAGAAAAGATTTAAAATATGAGATATTTCCTAGAGGATGTCCATTTTTGCCTTTAAATCCTCAGGCTACGTGGAAAACATAACGTAGCAACGTTATTTTGTAGCCAGTTCTAACTTTATTGTTTTAGTGGGTAGTCTGAGCAGATATCATAAACCTTTGTACTGCAGAGGTTTATGGAATATTAAGCTATAAGCAGCCCCAATTAATAGACTAATGAATTCTGTTATATTGCCAAGTGGCTTCTTTTAGGTTTTTTAATTATTGTAATTTCCCACTGTCTCAAATGTGTGTAAATATTGAATGCTTTAGTGACAGATAGCAACACAGTTCCTGTTTATCACCGATTACTCTAATCATAAAGATTTCCATTATAAAGTTAATAGGTCTAGCATAACCATAAAGTTATAAAGCACTTATTGAAAACTGGTTTAGGCTTATATTACAATCTAGCATTGGTAAACAGTTTATAACATTTTTCAACTTTCAGTATTGACAATTATCAAAGCAATCACAATCCAAATTTTAAAAACTGTTTTTTTGCAAGTTGTGCCACCAAAGAAAACATTTTTTACTGTCTTAAAAGCGGGCCTAAACTGTGATCTCATCATTAACCCTGCTATGTCGATCTTCATATGTCTATATCGCAAAGCTTATGACAAAAAACCCAATGGGCATTTTTGTAGAGTTTTCAATGATTTCACAGGTTGAAGTTTGCTTCATGCCAAGTGCATGGATTGTGCTAATAGGTAAAAGGTGTCTAGGTAACCTATTATGGTCTATATAAATATCATAGTGGTCTGGGTGCAGTACCCCTGACATTGCTGTTTAATTGACAATTCAGTATTATGATTGCATGGCTAAACACAGCTCTAATGGCTGTCTTTCTAACATCAAATACTAGTTGTAGGTAAGTATTGGATTCAATGATTCCCTGTTGGAAGTATTTTACATTTGATATTGACCTCTAATCCCCCATGCCTCTCTATGGGAAGCATTGGATTTTAGAAGAGGTCATGACGCAACATATGATGCATCAGAGTGTGGAAAAGGTTGTCTTGGTGCCTGTTCATATCTTTTATTATCAAGTATGATATTTAATACTTCTTTAATAGATGGAAAAGTTGTAGACTTCCAATAGCATGGTATAATTGTTGATGCATCAACCAAAACATGACCTATTATAATTTTGTTAACCTTACCTACAGTGCCAGGTAATTTTTTAAATATAATCCCAATTCTCGCAGAAATTCAACTAGAGCTGGTTCTCTCTGTTCGATAAGTCTATATATTTCCTTCCAAAAGTCCCGAAGTTTCGTACATTGCCACCATATATGTGCGAGAGTTAATATAACAAGATTCTTAATAAGATTTTCTTCATTTATGAATGTTGAAATGAAACATTTGGTACTTTGGACGATTGTAATATACTGATTCAGTAGATTTATTTGTTTTCAATGAGCGATGTATACTTTTGTTTACGTTATGTATGTTAAAAAAGTTGAAAATGGTCAATAATGAGCAAATTATATTAAATAAAATTACTGAATATAAGCTTATGATAGCAGTACTCAGGAGAGGGACTACAAAAGAATTATAGA